CTCTGAATGATGTAGACATCCTCCCCTCTCACGCTCTCACCGATCTCCACGCTGGTCTCCTGGTTGCTGAACTTCTTGGTGACCACCTTGCCCAGCTCCAGGCCCAGGCGGTCGGCCACGCGCTGGGACAGGTCGTGGTGCGAGGAGCCGCTGAAGAGCACAATGTTGGGCATGGCGGAGCGCAAGGTGAAGGTGGTGGTGCTGGTGGTAGTGGTGGCGGTGGTGGTGGCGACGGTGGTGGAGGCGGTAGCAGCGGTGGTGGTGGCGGCAGCGGTGGTGGTGGCGGAGGTGATGGCGCTGGCAATGGCGGCGACGGTTATGGTGACGCTGGCGGCGGCGACGGTGACGTTGGCGATGGCGACGCCTGCGTCGGCCGGAAGAATTTTTTTTTTTTTCAAGGAAATTGAAAACGCGTCAGAAAAAGACCGGAAAAGTTGTACCAAGAAAATTTTTTCCCTCACAATGTACCCCCGCTCATTTTTAAAGGGCAGCAAAAACTGTCCTATGATATTTTTGTTAGGAACGTTTACCCTACACACCCAGTACCCGGATCTTGTCCCTTTAAAGTTCTTTCTGTTCCTCAAACGTAAAGAACATTTAAAAGGATGACAAAACTGCCATTTTGACTTGATGTAAACTGAAGGGTGCAGAATTCCTGGGGGAAGGATTGTTGTTAAGTGCTGTCGAATCGGTTCCTACTAATAGTGACCCTGTATAGGGTTTCCAAGGAGCAGCTGGTGGGTTTGAACTGCCGACCTTGTGGTTCGCAGTCCAGTGCTGATCTTATAGTGCCACACCAGGAGGATTAGAGGATTGCTGTTGTTGTTGTTATGTGCCGTGGAGTCGATTCTGACTCATAGCGACCATTTACGGAAGCAGAAAGCCTCCTCTTTCTCCCGCAGAACAGCTGGTAGTTTCGAACTGCTGACCGTGAGGTTTGCAGCCTGATTCGTAACCACGAAGCTACCAGAGAAGGATTAGAAAGATGGAAACACAGCCTTCAGACGTATATAGACCTTGATAGAGGATATGTTGAGAAATAATAGTTTCACATTTTGACGTTTTCATTGAATAAAGGTTTCTACGATTTTGCAGCAGTAGCGTAGTGGTTACGAATCGGGCTGCGAACCACAAGGTCAGCAATTCGAAACTACCAGCTGTTCTGCGGGAGAAAGATGAGGCTTTCTGCTCCCGTAAAGACTTACAGCCTCGGAAACCCTCCCTGTACAGGGTCGCTATGAGTTGGAACCGACTCCACGGCCCATAACAACAACAACAACAACAACAACAACTTTTTAACTTACCCTTTGATTTTGGGAATTTCAGAAAATAAAAACTTTATTGCAACTACCTAACTCTGCACGGGCAGAAGCAGGCATAGACAATACATTAACAAATGAGTAATGCTGAGTTCCAATGAAACTTTATTTTCACCTCAAAAATAGATCTCAAGTCTTCACTTGTTAACATTTTCTTTTAAACTTATTAGGTTTCTTTGTTAACAAGTCAATTGACAACAACAATAAACTGAATAATGAGACAACAGAAACTGAGACTGCCTCATTAAAGCACAGTTGAAAATGTGGCTACTTGGACAGTCAGTGCCTGTTGAGTCCACTAGATAGCAATTGGTTCTAGAGTACCTGAGTTGGCATTGACTCCATGGCAACAGGTTTGGTTTTCTAGTTAGATGGGACAAATAGTTAAAGCAATTGCTGATAATTGAATGGTTGGAAATTTGAGTCCACCCAGGATACCTCAGAAGTAAGACCTGGCAATCTACTTCTGAAAAATCCGCCCTTGAAAATCCTATGGAGCACAGTTCTACTCTGACAAATACACAGTCTCCATTTGTTGTTGTTGTTGAGTGCCATTGAGTCGATTCCGACCCATAGTGACCCTGTGTAGGGTTTCCAAGGAGCAGCTGGTGAGTTTGAACTGCCGACCTTGAAGTTCAAATGACTTTGCAGTCTGGCGCATTAGCCCACAGCACCACATCAGGACTCCACACAGTCTCCATAAGTCCACTCAATTTGACAGCAATGGATCATTGTTGTTAAGTGCTGTTGGCCAGTTCTGACTCATAGTGACCCTATACAGAGTTTCCAGAGAGCAGCTGGTGGGTTTGAACTACCAACCTGGTGATTAGCGGCCCAGTGCTGATCCTACAGCACCACACCAGGACTCTGGATAAAAGCAGCATAAAAGCTTCCAAGTGGTGCCAGGCTTATTTCTAATCCTCAGACTAATGTGGAAAGGTTGGTGTCATTCAGCCCATTTTTAAAAATTGAAAATAATGGCTCAAAAACTTGCCCAAAATCATAGGGCTGGTTTACTTGCATCTATACCACATTGCCTTGAGGTGCTCTTTAATCTTATTAACACAGGCACTTCGCATGATTAACCTAAAAAACAAGGGAGCTGGTTTGCCACTCTTATACCCAATCTCTCATCTCTCTATAAAATCATGACTGATTTCCAAATATGCTCTCTTTTCTTACCTATCCATCTGAATTTTCTTCAGTGTCTCCGTAGTCATTATGGTTTGCCTTGTAGGTTTTTTAAAGACAAGGTCCGGCATTTTGCTAGAGTTCACTACAAAATGGCCTTCTCTGGTTTCTGGCAGCTTAGGTTCTTCCACAGGGAAGTCTGGATTGGATATTTTTGAGGTTGTTGAGGCCACTTGAAATTTTTCTAGACTTTTTCCTTCTAAATTCGCTTCTCTGCCTTTCTTCTAAAAACATAAATGATTTATTTTAGAAAGAGCTTTAACAAGTAGAGACAACTTTATATGAAACAGAGCCTTTGTCTAAAATTTCAGTATCATCTTCCACTTCTATGCTATACTCTAAATGCCCTTTTCCTCAGCCATACCAAACCAGATGTCCCCTTTTTTTTTTTTTTTTAACATCTTCCTGATTTTCCCCTAGCTCACCACCTGGATAGCTTAATATTTAACAATGTGATCAAAGGGAATCTTCTTGTTTCTATCAGCAAGTCTTTACCATACTGTAATTGTTTGTATAAATATCACCAGTAGATTGTAACTTCTATTAGAGTAGGGACAGTGCCTTAGAGATCTTGATTCATCTCAAATGATTTTTGGAATAAAACTGGAATTAAATAAATATGTCCATCATCATGTTATCATTGCTTAGAACAACGCCTCGGGTACATACAGTATAGACTCACATGTTCATTGAACCCATGACTTTGAAATATAAACAATGAAAGGAAACTTATAACAAAAAGGAGGTGCTAGCAAATTTAGTGGTGTGGTATAGATTCTGAGGGTCTTTTGGGGAACAGCCTAAATAGTTTCTTTTTCAGACCCAATGTGAATACTAAGAGGCAGGCATTACCAAAGGAAGAGCATATATATGTCTTATTTGATGATATTCCTTTTATCTGTGGCTAAAAGCTTGATCTACTCAGAGGTCATATAATATCTGGCCACTATATGGCGCTTCTGCATATATACTCTGAAGTCAGGCTTCCTGATTTGAATGCTGGCTCTATCTCTTCCTAACCATATTTACATCTCTGTACTTCTGTTTTCCCAATATGTAAAATAGAGGTAACAGTAATGTCTACTTTCACAGTTATTTGAAGGTTAAATGAGCACTTAGAACAGGACACAGTCAGCACAATATAAATATCTGTTATAAGCATGCAAATTCTTGGGCCGAGGCTCTGCACAGAAAAAGCTCTATGGGTATTGATATATAAAGTTGAGATCTTCTTTAGCTAAACCCCCACTAACCCAGAAATGCAAAAACAAAAAAAACAAAAAACCCTAAAAAGAAAAAAACTATTTCTGACTTTCTAGACATCAATAATAAGTAAAAATTCTTATTATTTTCTTGACATCAATAATAAGCAAAAATTCACATCTGAAAAAACAACATAATACTGCCTTAAATAAGAATTAGAGCTTTAAATGTTCCTTTAAATTAAGACTGATAGGATTGACTAGAAGGAGAAAAGAATTTCTGCAACTAAACAGAAATGCATCTGGATAAAAGGAATATCATAAATATATAGCTGGTTACTATTTTTGCTTTTGAACAGGAGAACTATGGCCTAGTAGGCCCTATTTTTCAGATTTTCTTAACCATTTTTCCTTTATGTTTGGAAATCTGAATAAGAAAGCAAATGTGTTAGCCAGGCTGACTTCCTGGTTGTTGTTAAGTGCTGTTGAGTCAGTTCCAACTCATAGCAATGCTGTATAGGGTTTCTGAGAAGAAGCTGGTAAATTTGAACTGCTGAGCTTGTGATTCAAACTGACCTCATGATCCAGTGCTTATCCTACAGCACAACACCAGGACTCCGACTTACTGATTACTAGAAATAAATATGAATTTTTAAAAGAGAACTTTAAGACGATCACTTAATGTTCTAGTTTACTCACTGAAAAATATAGCATACACTATGAACATATAGGAGTCCTGGTGGGGTGCTGTGGGCTAATGCACCAGACTGCAAAGCTGTTTGAACTACAAGGTAGGCGGTTCAAGCTCACCAGCTGCTCCTTGGAAACCCTATACAGGGTTGCCATGGGTCGGAATCGACTCAACGGCACTTGACAACAATAAATGAACATTT